AGTTATTACGCTATGCCTATCAAACTATTTAATCACCTTCCCAGAAGTAATAGATCAGGGGGAAGGTGATTAAATTTTTAAAGTCAAGTTGCCTTTATAGCTTAGGACAGTTTAGGCCAAGTTTCGACAGCAATTTTAAATAACTTAAATGTTCTTATTATTATGACACCATGATAATTAATATGACATTTGTATGCCTATTTTTATATGGCTGCGGTTTTTTTTATAATTAATCAGTCTGAATGTACCACTTTCTTTGCAAATAAACGATTTATTATATTACATTATTATAAAAAATATAATATTTAATAAAGACAATGGTAAGCGGCCGGTTGGAATGTCGTTGATCCCTTGTAATATGGGACGGGCTTTGGTATGGGAAGCTAATTGTGTGGACACGTTTGCCTCGTCTCACCTCCCTCGTGCAAGCAAAAAAGCTGGGGCGGCCGCAAAGCAGGCAAAAAATAATAAACGGCTCAAATATAAGAATCATTCCTCCAACTTCGTTTCGTTCCTGAAACGTTCCCTTTGGAGTAAAGACTTTCAGTCCGTAAGGTTCAAGTGTACCGGCGCTAATTAAAGATTTAAGTTGGCGCCTGGTAGATAGTACCGGTGACCCCAGAGGTGCTTTCCTCGCTCAACGATTAAGTATCGCAAAACAGCGAGGAAACGCTGTCAGCGTTAAAGGTTGTTTTAATTTTCTCTTTTTTCAATTTTTAATCATTTTTATAATTACTAGGTTAATAAAATTATAAATACTGTATTGTTATGTTAAGGTTTTATTTCAATAAATAAATTTTGATTTCATATTCAATAAATATTTTTATAAATTGGCCTTAAAGAAAAACTCTTTAAATATCCAGATTATATAGTAAGAACCCAAATCGGTTGAACATTTTATGTCGCATTATTTAATGGATAATGCGACATATCTACTTATTAATAAAAAGTTAAATAGTATTTATTCGAATGCCGTAATTAAAGGTTATGTTATTGTTATAATTAATACTAGTACACAACACATACTACACGTCTCTTATCCTCGCTATTATTTATTTAGCCCCGACTTATGTAACCTAACATAAGTTAAGTTACATATATTTAGTAAATAATTGGAACGTAATCCAAATGTTAGCAATCACTTGCTAAAATGAGCCCTTTAGTTATTCCCACACTCATTAATTGTAATATAATATTCTTGTTTCCGATAATGTCCATAAAGGTCTACTAAACTTGTATTGAAGTGTCACTTAGATTTAATAACCATTAAATATGCCAAGTTAGTTTTTTGTTAGGGTCGCAACCCTAATTTTATGTTAGTTACGATTAAAGCTAGCTGTTACCCAGCTTCAAACAATGAGTTTCATTTAACACATTTTTTAACATATCTATAACAACCGCCACTTCACTCCCGCTGTCTGTTTTTTCGCTATTTTATCTTCCCAGGTTTCTGGTGGGCAACCTCTCCTTTTTCTTACCACAGCGCCAGTCCAAGCCTTTTGTGAGCCACCTGCGGGCCGTATGAGAGGTTACAGAATCTATTAACAGCTGTAGGTACCTAGTACCCCTACCTACTTTCCATTATTTAACCGAAATAATAAGTAGTATATCTGATAATCCAATAATTCATGCGACAAAAGCATGTCTCTGTCCCGTTCATAATTTTTAAGTGTAGGACAATTTTTGGTTCGCTAAAAATTATAGGACCAGTTTAACGCAATTTACAAGGTTAGAAATTTTTATTTTATTACTAGTATTATCAAATGAATATCTATGTAAAATTATTAATGTGTTCCTGAAAGAATGATAACATTAGTGTTACAGTATCAAATGGGTTTAAACTATTTTATTACTTTCTCTGATGGATTCAAAATATGAAATTAATTGGATGATTATTAAATGAAAGTAAGTTAAATATAATTTAATAATAATAATTTTAATTTTAATAATAATTTTATCTTTCGTGAACTATTTTAAATTGTATTACCTTAGCACTTGAAATTGAATTGAAAAACTAATCTACACATACTGTCTTTGCTTTCATTTGATTATGAATGAAGAATTAAAAAATTTTTTTTGTATAAATTCATTATTGTTCATTTAAATAGGCTCTTTTATATGTCTTTCATATGTTTAGGTGATAACGAGCATCTAAAACCCTTTTTCTTGGCCTTTCATTTCTGTATAAGTTTCTGGTAGGGGAGCCCAAGAGGGGATTTCGGGATTTACTAAAGCGCGGCAGATTAATATATAGGGGGATACCTTGTACCCGGTTAAGTACCTCCACAAAATATGAGGCCCATATATAAGGCCGCCCGTGAAGGAGAGAGGATCAGATTAGTAAAAAAAAATTGACCATCAGAAATTCCCGAGCGCGTCAGATTAAGGTAGGGTGAGTTAATTACATCCTAAAAAGTGTATATTCCACTAATCTGACAATTTGAGAGTGACAGAAAAAAAGGGGAGGGCAACAAAGTTGTAAAAAAAAACCGTCATCTCGACATTCTCGAGCGTAGCTAATTTTTTTTTTATTTTGAAGGAAAACCACGTCGATCGCCACCAAGCTCGTCAAAAGCGGTTGATTAGTTCGAGAGATATCGTGAACGAAAGAAACCCGAAAAAGTGTTTTTTCGGGATTACTCCGAAATTTGTGGTTCTATCAATTAAAATTGCAAAATTACTTATGATGATGATAAAACTGCGTCGAATGCCGCCAACCGCGTGAAAATTGTTTGATCCATTCAAAAGTTATTGCGGTTTGAAAATTCCAAAAATAGTGTTCTATGAAAATTCTATCAGACTTTCGAGCTGGGAAGGCTCAAATGCATAGACATGTTATTTCTTTGAACTCAGCGAGCTCAAAATATCAATTTTAAGCGCCCAGGAATGGAAGTAGCGGGAAGTTGCAGGAATGGCCCTTTCGGTGAATCGTTTTTCTAAATTTTTTTTGTCAGATCAGGCGAATCCCTCTAGATAATCGTCAGATTATGAGACAGTACGTTTAGAACATAAAGATGAACCACATATATCTTAATCTGACGCGCTTGAGTATTTCAAAATTGCGATTTTTTTTTGCATATTATGAAAATGGCAGTGGGTTTGCGTCCCATCGAAATCGTCAGATTAGTGAATGAGAGCTTTTTTTTGGTGCACTTAACACTCCCTTAGAAAATCTGACGCGCTCGATAAATTTTTTTTTTTTTCATTTTCAACCCTTAAATACAACCACCCGCATCATGCAAACGATCAGATTAACATACGTACATTATTAAAAATACGTAGGGCATAGATGCTATCAATATCTGACGCGCTCGAGGATGTCCATGCAACAGTTTTTTTTTACATATTTAACTATCTATAGCCGCTTCCCCCACCGATGAAAAGGAATTTATCATATAACATTTTTTTCTTCTTTTTATCTAAGCTTTGCATCCCAATAGGTCTCTACGACGCTCGAGTAAATCCCCATTTAGCATCGTGGGCTCCCCTACCATTCATAATAGTCAAGACTCTCTGGTCAAATTGATGTCCAATGTCCATTGGTTACATATCAAGAAAAATTTCTAGGTGTTTCAAATGCGCGCCCTCCAGTGTCACGTGCCTTAAACTCTTATACCAGTTAATTGTATTATGATATTTGTGAGAAGTGATTTTGGAATATTTGAGAACTAGGGGCATTAAGCAAATTTTACTATATAACTCATATAAATAAATAAGGGGGACTTGCCTTTATGTCCCAGACACCAACACCATTACACACCAACTTATCCTTACAAGTTCTCACAAAAGAAAAGCTGTGTAAAAAGGCTTACTATAAAGTTAACGATTATCTAGTTGATAAGAGGGCCTGGGGCTAGTGCTAGACAGACTACTTCTAATTAATTTAGGATATTTGTTTTAAAATATGTTGTTTGATGATTTGCTATTAAAAGAGTACCGAGAGTTTTTTACGGCGGCTTTTTCTCTCGGCCTACACCCTCTGTCTTCTTTGCCGATGAGAGGAATGTCTACCGTAACAATTTAATGATGTCGAATAAGTGATACCTGTACCTACCTTATATTCCATAATAAACTTTTTTTTTTTAGTAAATTTGTCCAAAATATTGCATTGTCTGAGAGACAGCATAAACGTTTATTGATCTGTCTGTGTTGCTGATATCCAAAACCACTAAAAGGATTAGTTCGCTTCATAAATATATCAAGTTAGTTTCAGTTTTTTTCATTAAAACGTTGTCAAAGCAAAAGGATAGCCATTTATAATTAAAATACAACAAGAATAAAATTCTATATTTAAGCCCCTGTTACGATATTCAAAATACCTCTACAGCCCATTTGACAGCCGTTCTTGTTAATGCTAACTACGACTCGTTAATAGTTAAGATATTAAAACCAAGCATTATATATTCCGCGAACAAAGTTCAATACAAAACTAATAACTTTGATCCAAAGATAACCTTGACCGTCGACTTTATCGTAATTACGTAACATACAATGCTGTGTTTACATACAAGGGACATTGCGTTGGCCTTAAGAATCTACATTGTATTAAAGTCAAGGGATTTATCTGGATAAAACCAACAATATAATGCTCTCACTAAACCTTTTTCTTACTAAAATTCCACTGTATGGAAAGGACCAAGGGGAAGAAGGAGAAGGTGGATAGCAGCAATAGAAGCGGTAGCAGGAAGCGAATGGAGAAAGAGAGCCATAGACACAGTCAGTTGGAAAAAGCTGGAGGAGGCCTTTATCCGTTAAGGGGTTCCGATCGACGGTACTGAAGATAGCAAGGATATATGTAGGATAAAATTAATGTATAAAATGTAAAAAATCTAAGCTGTATATATCATTATTTTGTCATGATTTGGAAATTAAACGGGCTTTATTATTATTTATATCACTTATATCTTTTGTATACAGACATCGCGACAACTGTATTTATATATACACGAATATCGTATCCTTTATATGACTAATAACGAGTTTTATCGTCAGTTGATAACATGGCGTCAAAAGTAAAACTCACGTTCAATGTCCTTTTCATATCCGCGGCAGTGATTCTTAGTAATGTGATCCGTTTTAAACTTCTGCCCATAGACAACGAGACAAAGCTCTCGCTTGGGTATCCTAGAGACAGCCTTCTAAATTTTACAGAACTGGCTAGTGAATATGGATATGCGACTGAGGAACATACAGTCGTCACTGAAGACGAATATTTGTTAACCGTATTCAGGATTGTGCGAGGCAAGAATTGTAAAGGGAAAATTAAGACACCACCAGTAATCCTCATGCATGGATTGCTACAAAGTTCCGATGCGTGGCTGGATGCAGGTCCGAGCGCCGGGCTGGCCTATCTCCTAGCAGATGCGTGCTATGACCTGTGGGTCGGAAATCAAAGAGGTAATTATTACGGTAGACGACACCTTAAATATAATCCAGATGAAGACGCCGAATTCTGGAACTTTTCCGTCGACGAAATTGGACTTTACGATATTCCAGCGACTATTGATTACGTTCTAAATCAGACTAATGTTAACAAATTAAACTACATCGGATATTCCCAGGGTTCCGGAAGCTTATTTATCATGTGTTCTGAAAGACCCGGGTATTGTGATAAAGTGAAGATTTTAATCGGTGTAGCCCCGGCTGCGAGACAAACGTATTCCAAGTCTGTGATTTACAGATTAGCAACTAAAAGCATTGCAGCAATGGAGGGTGTCATAAGAGGTGCTGGTATTCATGAGATTTTCGCAAAGGGACAACTGAGCCAGGAAGCTCTTGGGTTTATTTGTCAAATGAGTGCGATCGCGGAACCTGTCTGTGGTACTGCTGAACAGTTGTTTGATTCCTTCCATCCGGGGTCGATAACAAATACGACTCTACAAGTAATGTTTGGACATTTTCCTGCTGGAACATCTGTTCACAACATGGCGAGGTATGGCCAGAGTATGTCCACGGATAAGTTCCAGAAGTTTGACTATGGGAAAGATGTAAATTTACTTAAGTATGGTAGTGAAATGCCTCCAGAATATAACTTGAATCGAATGACAGCGCCCATAGTGATAATATATGGGAGGAATGATCATTTGGTTGATCCAAAAGATATAGCCTGGTTGGTGGAACAATTACCGAATGTGGCTAATGTTATGGAAGTGACTGATCCTCTATGGAACCACTTTGACGTGACATATAGTCAGTATACCAGTGAGTTAATTTTTCCGACTGTGAATAAATACTTAACAAAGTTTAGCACATCATAAACTAATAAACTTTTAAGTCTAGTCCTAAATGTGTGTATATATATTGTTAAGTGGAATATCAATAAAAGGACCTTTCGTTTGTAAGATTCACATATACTATTTATATATTTTGTTGTAGATTTCTATAATAAATAAGGAAATATTGTGATAACAGCCTATCGTCTGTGATAATTACAAATATTTAACTAATCAATATGTTATTTTATGTCTTTCGGTAAATTAAAACCCATTTATAATTAATAGCTTTAGTTCGCCGCATATGCACGCATGATTTATATTCTTATTTGTAAATCTTCTGTGAACACGGCCTTATCATTCAGATAAGATTGAGAGTCGAGACTTAACACTAAGTATGACTCCCAAATGTGAAAAACGTAGGTTTGACATACGGGACCTTAGGCTAATAAATAGCTTAGGCTTAGGCTAGTCTTCTATTTGACTGTTAGGGTAATTCATCCCACTTTTCGGTATTTTTTCTTAGTTTGTAACAAACAAAAGATGCATGAACACTGCAACCCTGGGTCCGAGGCTGTCTTCTTTATTGCAAAAATAATAATAATAAAAGCCTTTTATTTCAAATAATTAACATTTATATTACATCTAATTCAAACAGAAATGCCGATGCCAAAGGCAGAATCCCGCCATTTCTGTCTGCACTGTGTCACTCTCTGCCATGTACCAGCTATTTCCTTAATCTGTACTATCCAATTTGCGCTTACCTTATGCACCAGTTTAATTCTTTCTTGCTTCACTTTTCTCTTCTTCTGCCTCGCCCATTTCCATTTTTTTATTTATTTTCATTGTGACATATGCCTCAGTTAGTCTTCTTAATGATGTAAAATAAAGTGTTTTAAAGAATACTTCGTTTCAAAAGTCAATTATTGACATAAATACATCACGAGGAAGATTGTCTGTTTGCAGATAACATTAACGTTTACTTTTAACGACAAACTGACATTACAGCTTAACTTGTTATTTAAGTCAATAAATGAATGAATAGTACCTACATATATATCCGGGTTCTATATGTATAATAACAATCGTAATTATTGGAAGTGGTAGAATTTTCTATAGAAGCACTGTTAAATGTATTATATAAAATAAATAAATAGAATAAATCAATGGCGTTACAACCTTTTTAGGTCGAACCTCAGATTTCTGTATCTGTCTCATGATCATTTGTTTGTCTAATAGGCAAGTTGGTGATCAGCCTTCTGTGGCTGACGCACGCCCTCGACTTTTTTGGGTCTAAAGCAAGCCGGTTTCCTCACGATGTTTTCCTTCCCCGTTCGAGCGAATGTTAAATGCGCACATAGAAAGAAAGTCCATTGGAGCACAGCCGGGGATCGAACCTACGAACTCATGTATGAGAGTCGCACGCTGAAGCCAGGCCAACACTGCTCTGTAAAATATATTATATAGACATAAAAATTAAACAAAATGTACAATTTCATATTGTTATGTCCTATCTTTGACCACTTAAAAACAAAATTATCACTAACATTTCAAAACTCACATTACATACATTTACAAAAAATCTCCAACAATATCTTGTCAACCTGTCCTATTCTGATACAGAAAATATTCTTATTAAATTTGTATTATGTAGAAATCTTAAAGTAAAATACAGTTTACGTGACAAAAGAGAGAAAGAGACTGGCTGACTGGGAATCCTAATATATTGTGTGTAATAAAGTTTTGTCTTTCTTTCAAATTCAAATTCAAAAATCATTTATTCACGTAGGTAACACAATGTACACTTGTGATTCGTCATTAAAGAAATAAGTATTAATGCTTCTAATTTTACATTTACTGCCAGTTCTCAAATCAAGGGCGTAGAACGGAAGAGAAGAACTGGCAATAAACTCTCCGCCACTCTTTTTAATCGCCATGTTTTTTTTTTTTTTACACAACGTTTGTAAGGAGCTGCAACCATTACACCATGTTCCACATGACATTTTAAGTAATTAATAATAATAACATAAATAAAAACAAAGACTTGTCCCCTATCAGCAGGAGGCATGGTGAAATAGGAGCACGCACTTACATTCTCGTCTCTCTCTTTCTTTATCATTTCTAAACATCTCAAAATGCGCTGACGGGTACACCGTAAGTATGTAATGTCAACATACATTTTTGACGTACGATAATCTGATTTAGCTCCAAGTATAACCCGTCCACAATCTCTCGTCTGCGTCTTCGTCATGCTTGCACCCCTGTTCATCTAGCCAATCTCCGGATATGGGATCACTCTATCTGTGAGTGTGGCTTGGATGAAGGCACTGTATCTCACATTCTATTTAAATGTCCCAAACTAAATTATCCTCTCTATGACGTTCTTCCCCCTAAAGTCCTCCGTCCTTTAAGTGTTAATGTTTGTGTTTAGTCCATATTGTAGATTTTTATGTAAATATATAGAAAGCAATAAAATTAAAGTGTAATGTATATAATATATATATATATATAAATTATACGTAAATAGGAAATAGTAGGTATTTAATAATGTTATTACTCATATTTGTGTTGTCTATGCTGTCTTAAAACTAACAATCGAATTTCAACTCTTTTTTAATTATTATTTTCACCGATCAATCTCCTTCGTGCCTTCTCCATCTACACGACACTGGCGAAGTACCTTGTGCCCGGTTGGCACAAATAAAAGCCATTAAAAAAAAATAAGAAAAAGTATAACCCGTAATAGCGGTAAGTCTCCACTCTGAATCATACCTATAACGGTTATTTCCCGTACATACAGAAGAATTTAAATAATTTTTTAACCACGGAAATTTACTGTAGATTTTTCCTTTCCTATTATTCATTATAAGTACGGAAATTTATTGCTGAACTCTTAACATTTAATTAACTTATAAGATTGTATCATGGCCAAAATGCGGTCGGAAGAAGTGGCCGGCCGTTCACCTAAGCCATGAACTTGTGTGCGCGATTCGGTTAGTTTATTCTTCAGATCTTATTGTTGTTTATTATTTAAAATTTGGTATTACGTAGTCAAACATGTATAAAACCTATATATGTTTCAATTACCGCTACATGCCTATTCCACTAATCTTTATATATAAAATTCTACTGTACGTATGTTTGTCAATAAACTCCTCTTAAACGGCTGGACCGATTTGGATTGTTGTGTTTGAGTTTTGTATGCGTTTGGGTGGCGCCCTGGATGGTTTAGATTCACAAATCACCCCGGCAGATAGCGCTGCAGTCGGTACTTTCATACTTAGTTTAATATCCTAATCGCTTGAAATAAATATCATGCAAGATAATGTCTGTCGGGTAAACTAGTCATATATTATAACAGCGGTTTTCTAACATGTAACATATTATGATTTTATTGTAAAAAAATGATCAAGATTATCAAGATTATTTATCAATCGGTTACTAACAACTAGAGGTGTTATGGATATGATATTTCGGATCTGGATACGGATATGGATATAGGAATAAAATTATATCGGTTTCGGATACGGTTACGGATATATAATTATTTCGGATTATCCGTTAGTTTCGGATAGTTTCGGTTACGGTTATTAGATTGAAGTAAAATATAAACACAAATACATAGTATGTAATAATTTAGTTTTATATATAAGTTTTATCTAGTCTAGGTTATCAGTTGGTATTATAATCGGTCATATAGGTAAGTAATTATTATTAGTAATTATAAAAGTGCAATAAATTTCATAGCTTTACAAAAACATTGCACATATTAACTTATAACCTATGTACAACATATTAAATGTTTTCTTTTTAATTATTTTTGTGAGTATTGAAACCACTAACAAAAACCTGTCGAAACATGTAGTTTTATCTAGATTTAAGACTCCACCCTTATCCGAAATATATCCGAAACTTGTGAAACGGATACGGTTACGGTTACGGATATAGATTTATTTCGGATATCCGATTGTTTCGGTTACGGTTACGGAGCTCCATAACATCCCTGCTAACAACCAAAAAACCGGAAGGAGACATTTTGGTTCTTCTTACTTGCTTTAGAGTCTTTTGGAAAGAGAAAATCGACACTAACCTCTCGTATGTCAAAAACTAATTGGACATAAGGTCACCTATAGAACACATATTTGTATTAGAAGAAAAAATTCAGATGCATATTTTACCACATAAACTTTTTAGCAATAAAGGGCACCTAAGGAAATATACGTTCCAAGGTCGATTACAGTTGATTAAATTTAATTTTCTGACGTAGTCTGTTTACTTAAAATCGTGTAAAATTTTATAATAAATTCTTTAAACCGATCTACGCGACAAACTATAAGAAGTAATCGGAATTAACATTGTTTTTGAAAGACTAACTATACCCGCAAAAGTGATGTATTATAATCTTCCTTTATATACTAGAGCAAGGTTGGCCTAGTGGTTATAGCGTGGTCTCATGCCTGAGATTGTACGTTCGAACCCCGGCTGTGCACCAATGCAATATACGCACTTAACACTCGACGGGGCTTGTCAGTCACAGAATGCTGATCACCTACTTGCCTAATTGGAAAAACAAATGAATACGAAACAGTTACAGAAATCTGAGGCCCAGACTTAAAAGGTTGTACCACAACTGTTTTTAATATACTTTCCACCGCAAAGCCGAAAACAAAACTTCAATTTGAACCCGAATTGAATGATGTGTTCAACTAAACAAAGTCTTCAACTTCAAGTCCAAGGTCGCGCCTCTATGACAAAAAAACGTGTGTGCACTTACACGCGTAAGAAGTTATACTTCTTTGGAGTAACAAGATAAAAATCAAATAACGCGTCATAGGAAGTATAACTTCAAAAAACTAAAATGTTAGGCTGTCGGTTTTTTGTGACGGTGTGCGCGCGCATCGTAAAAATTTACTCTCATCATTTTTCCCTAACGCGCCAAAACAAGTATAACTTCAAAAATCTCAGTCTAGCAGTCAGGTTTTTACTAATAGATAGTGAGATTCCAAATTAAGGTTTAGATGTATCATTCATTTTGGCTTTAGAAG